AAATACTTTTATTTTATGTATGCCTGCATGTATGTTAAGTGCATCTGTGTCATGCAATGTCCAAGGAGGTCAGAAGAGGGCGTCAGATCCTCTGAAACTGGCTAACAGTTGTTAGCTACCATGTGGGTGCTGGGAACTGAACCCAGGTCTTCTGCAAGGACAGTCAGTGCTCTTAAACTCTGAGCCATCTCTCTATTCCCTATTCTTCCATTTCATATTAGGCTTACTAACATTAATTCTGTCTAGTTCTGTTCTTTTATAGATCTAAACCACAAGGAGATAGATACTATTTGTTTAGGATAAATACCACTTTCTTCTTTTGTAACTCTAAAACACAAGAAGAGAGATGTTATCAGTTTAGGGTAAATGCCACCTCCTCCAGGCAGCTCCTCATGACAAATCTGGGTAGAGGCAAAAAGATGTTCTCCTTTGAGCACTTGAGTTGCTTTTCTTGTTGAGTGACAAAATATCTGACAAAAAAATTAAGGAAGGAAGGGTTTATTTTGGTTAATAGTTTGAGGATATTGTCTATCAGGGTGAGGAAGTTGTGACAGTAGGAGGATAAGGCAGGTGGTCAAATTGTGTCTCCAATAAAGAAGGAGGTGGGAGGAGAGGGAGAGAGAGATAGAGACAGAGAAGCAGATGAATGATGGTACTCTGCTCACTTTCTCTTTTGCATTTAGCTGAGAGTGCCAGCACACTCAAGATGAATCTTCCCTCTCAGCTAAACTTTCCTGTAAACAGGAATCACACCCATAGCTGTGTTTCCATGGTGATTCTACATTTGATCGAGCTGACAGTGAGGAATAACTATCACATACCTATAGAAAATATTCTGGAGATTTAATGGCAACCTTTATTGTATTAATTATTAATTAATAATTAGTTACTTAACAATCACTATACTTAAAGATTTCCATGACTTGCTAATACAGCATAGCTCCATAAAAATTAAACCTTCAGATTTAGGAAATATTGCAGAAGAGGGGGTAGAAAGGTGGAAGAACCAGAGTTTGGGGAGGACTAGGGTGAAACTGTGCTGGGCATGCCAGGTCCACTGCACTCATGAACTCAGAGGAACTCTAGCTTCCTGCACAAGATCAAGCAAGTCAACACTCCAGTGTGGATTGAGGAGAAGTCCACAAGGCTCCAACACTAGCTGAGAACTACTGGCAATTAATATCTGCTGGGGGAAGGAGAGTCAATTTTCTTCAAAGATGTAGCCTCTGGTAGGTTGTCCATGCTCCGTTGGATGATCCTACACCAGTGGCCATTAAGTCAGCTCTAACTAAACTCAGTGGTTTATAAAGAAACAAGAGAGAGGATATGAAATTGGGAGGGAGACATGAGGATGTCTGGGAGAAGTTGGAGGGGGTAGGAGCAATATTCCAAAATACATTGTATGCATGCATGAAATTCTCAAAGAATAAATACAATTTTAAATTTCAAAAATCTTAATTGTCCTTTTTATTGAGAGGTATTTGTTGAAAGAATATGTTATATTGCAGAAACAAAATCAGAAACTATCTGTTGAAAACATTTTTTTTTTTGTAATAGAACATTTGTCATGAAACTTGTTTGAACAGAGGCAAATCCTGAGTGATGCTCTCTGCTGAAGTTCTTTCTAACTAACCTGTTTAGAGTCTGGTGTCTAGCACAGTACATGGCACTGAGGACATATTTATTACATGTCTGTGGATAGTGGGACTAAATGAACTTGAGAAGTGGGCCACAAAGGTAGACTGTGTCCCTACAGTGTAAGCAACTGTGTAAAATTTATCATTGAATGGGATTGGGAATTTAAATTTCAGCCACTTGGATAAAATGTACCATGAAGAATCATTTCACATTAGTCATGTTATTATAACCTTCTGTAAAGAGCGTATTCTTAAACACGTCTTAGAAGTGCTAGGCTCCAAAGCCACCTGTCAATGCTGGTTTGCCAACATCAGATAGTTAAGAAGCAAATGTTTTTGAAAACAGCGGCTGCCAAGAATTTCTGAAGGAAGTGCCAGGGTGTTCTGGACTACACTAATTCCCTCAACATGCCAAGTTGCCTCCCTTTGGCCATTCACAGGCATGTGGTGGCCGTCCCCTCCACTTCTCCTGACTCACTGCTTCTCTACTTTACTTGTCAAGTGTGCTGCTCCTTGGAGTTTTTAATCCTCCAAGATGTGTGTGGCTTCCTTTCCACTGGCGTTCAGAGCATCCCATCATACCTAGCAAAAAAGTAGTCACCCCGTCACCACTAGTAAGTTGTTTTCATCTTCTCTCTGCTATAATTTTATGGAGGAGAGTTCTAGAGAGAGAATGTTCCAGAAATCAGAAATTACCCATCGTTAGTCCTACAATTCAGATTGTGCAGACTCTAAAAAGAACACCTTGAAAACATTGCTTAGCTGAGTCATGATACTTTGAAATGTTTAAATCTCTTTTTTAAAAGTATAAATTCCTTCAATTTAAAGGCGTGGGCTAGGTACTCTCTACAGATCTTCAGAGCTACTAGTACTGATAAGAGGGCCTGAGATTCAGATGTGACTATCCCAATTTCTGTTCTGAAAGGAAATTTCAGTGTGCCACAAGCACTCCTGGGATTACTGATTTACATGAGCAGTGAGGTTGATTTATTTCTTCCCTCCTTCCCACCCTTCTCCCACATGAAGTAATCTTTTGAAGCCTCCATTTCCTGAGTAGTATGAGAACCGTGGTAGATGTAATCAGATTCGTTTCCTGTTTGCCTATAGTTTCCAGAAACATGTCTGGGTGAAACTTTTGTTGTACTTCCCAGCTTCTCTGCCAAGATCCTTTACATCCATAGCAAATGGTGGATACCTATCTTTGAAATGATAGAGTTCATACTAATTGTCAGAACAATCAAATCATAATTAGAACTTTATTGGATAAAGAAATCAGTTATGCAGCAATCCTAAGCCCACTTGGCATGCAAGTGATGTTAAGTGCTTAATATAAAATAAGGTCATTATGAAGTTGCCCCAATCATTTCAAGACTCATTCAGAAGGTAAATGAATGCAGCTTAGTTATGCTGTAAAATATGAGCTCACAAATGAAAATAGCTATTGGATAAGACGTCTCAAATTCTAATTACTAAATACTACTGAGTAAAATTTATCATGTAACAAAATTTTATTGTTTGTCAAATTGATTTATCAGACATTTTGAAAACAATCTGATCTTCAGATAGGGATTTTAAAGCATACCCATAAATATACATTAAATATGTTAAAAATCATTAAAGCCTAATATCAAATTAATAAGTCAAAAATTAAGTTCTAATTCCTGCCTTAGTATGAATCAGTACTAACCTTTAAATTTATAAATGTGTATTTTCAAGTTGGATATGATATTTTTTATATGTTTTTTTTCCTGAAGAATAAGAGAAACAGAAAAGTAAAGCTTTCCAAGAATAAATGGAAAATTGTTTGTGAATCATTGTCTGAACACTGAAAATATATGATTGTAAAGTCCATACATTTTTCTCTATAAATTCTAAACACCATTATCTTGTGACAAGTAGCAGAGCATTTTATGAAGCAGAAGACTATAGTTCAAAGAAGTCATTTTTAAATTAAATTAACTATGAAATGTGGTAACATGTTTCCCAGTTAAGTTAGTCTATGCAAATATTTCTGAGGTTTGGGAGGCTCACCTGCTTTATCTGCACACTGCTTTGCATTTGAGTTTTATTTCTGCGTGTTGAGCACATCTCAGGGAGAATCACTTGTAGACATCTGGGAGGGTCCAGATTTAGAATGTGTCTCAAGAAAGAGAGGTTGTGTTTACTAACCTGTAACTCTTCCTTTGCTATTCTTTTTTAATGTCTTTATTTACTATTATTGAATGTATATGAGCATTTTGTTTGCATATATGTAAGTGTACCCATGCATGCAATGGCCGCCAAGGCCAGAAGAGAGTATCAGATCCCCTGGAACTGGAGTTACAGATGGTTGTAAGCTGCCACGTGGGTGCTGGGAACAAAACCCAGGTCCTCTGCAAGAGCAGTCAGTGTTCTTAATTACTGAGTCTTTCCTCCATGTCCTTGTTATTTTGACTTAAGTGTTTTCTTAACAGTACAGGTGGTAGAAAATCAAACCTCAGATCTGTGTGGTTTCCAACCTTAGATGTGATCTTCCCCGACCAAATTCTAGATCAAAACACAAAAGCTTTGGGGATGGAAAGATGGCCCAAGAGCACTGGCTAATCTTGCAGAAGACCTGGATTCAGCTCACAGCACCCACCTGGCAGTTAACACTGTCCTTAACCCCAGTTCCAGGGAATTCAACACCCTCTTCTGCTCACTCTCTCATGGAAATTGCATGCCTGGGTGTGCTTACATTCATGCAGGTAAAACACTCATACACATAAAACAAAAATAAATAAATAAATAAATAAACTATTTGAAAAGTAGATGATAGTAGATGAGCCATATCTGTTCTCGTTCAGCTTGGCTACAGCATTTTGAGACTCAATACCAACTCATTGTCTCATGAAGGTTTGAAGGTTATATTTATCTCCTGACACTTCACAGATACTGAACCTTATCTACTGCAAACAAGATTGTCATATTTTCATCTACCATTTGCCAGCTTCTGGAGACTTTCTGCATCCACCTCCACTCTTCTGAACCCAGCTATGCAATTTAAAATTCTGTGGTCTTTTGCCACAAGAGAGTTTTCTGGCCAAGTTAATTTTTTTCATCATTGTATAATTCTTAAAATGTTATTTTATTTTTGTTATTTTATGAATGCAAAACTACTCCTACAAAACTTTTATTTTCATAGTCAGAAAATTCAGTTTGACACATTAGAATTTAAAAGAATTTATAAA